AGTAAACAATGGTTTATACATGGGAATACAAATTTTGTGATAGTTAATGAAGTGACTGAATATACGACTGGTAAAGTAATTCTCGAAAGTGTACAGGCAAGCTGAGTTTTCAATTAATTTCTTGTTTAGTGTTTCAGATACTACCCGAGCTTTCAAACCGAAGTAGGTAGTTTTTTAAGGGGTCATTCTCCGAACTTTTGACGACGTCTGACTCTCAGAGCCTGGGAGAAAGTTCATTAGGTGCATTTCTATGGTTGCTGATGATTGGAACAGGTCATTTTCTAGGGTCGTACAACTCACTTGCATCACGTGCTTGGAACCACCCTCTATGTCCACCACTTCGATTATGAGCGCCAAAATTTTTCACCTGACTAATTTCCAAAGGAGACTGCTAACTGTACCTTTAATATATTTAGCGTAAAGAGCATCTTAAGCTAATAATAATGCATTGTTTCTTCAAGTGGTGGGTTCGAGGAGCCAAACACCAGATTAGTAATAATATAGTAGGTCTTACTTTTGAAATCATCCGAACATGACTGAACAGTTGCCGATGCAGATATTGTTTGACAACCTTACTTCAGCGTATATATATATGACTACATATTCCTAAATATGAGAATGTAATTTCTCTAGGATTCACAAAACCATGCTCACTAGACATTACTGCCATTGTTGATCAATTTCTAAGTTACACATTTGCAATACCTCATTTAACGTAGACGTATTTAGTGTGAAATTGATGAGAGAATGACCTCTCAACAGTATGGGTGTTTCAGAGTTTATCTTGAGATTTGCGTGTAATCTTCTAATGCTGGACAACTTATGAGGTCTATTTATGTATACGGTGTCAATATAAAGACTAGCTGTGGACTACAAATACTATTGCTTCTATGGAATTTTACTTAGTTTTATTATTCATACTAACATATAAAATTATCTTTCATGACCTCATGTTGTGCTTCACATTTTAGGTATATGGAGGTTTTGGAATGTGAAATCAGTGGAAATGTCAATCTGTCAAACTAACGCTAATACCCTTCATCAGAATTTTCTTTTGTAAACTAAGAAAATGTTTAATATACTCTTTATTTCCACTTCTTCTTAACGTCTTCAGTGCGTGGCTTTACTATGAGCTTTCGTAATATGTGAATTCTGATTAATGCATGTTAAGATTTACTATAGTATTATGAAACTTTTACTTTAACCACTCATAGGATTTCGCGTCTGTTTCTAAACAATAGCACATTGTAAAACCTAAGTAGGATTTAGCAAGTCGAATAATAGTTCTGTAATATTCGTTAGGATAAAGTCTCCTTATTTAGCCAGTTGCAAGTCTGTATACTGCTAAACGCCAAGTATATGGTACAAGTAAATTAGGGTTGATAGCTACTTCATTAATCAGTTAATATGCAGTGGCATCATCAAGTACACTGTCTACTTGGCGATTAGCTAAGAAACAATTTTCATTTATTTCTGATGTGCTGTTGAATCATGTGATGTTATCTAACATCCATCATTTCTATGATCAACAACGCCAGTGTTTGCATATCTACTTTGTTAAGTATGCCGATGATCTAACTATTTCAATGTCTGTCAACTCCCAGCTAGACTGTACTAAAATGAACAGACTTCTATCAGGAATTAGAGCAAATGGTCTTCCCCTAACGGCCTTAAACTAAGTCTTTCCAAATGTCAGACAGTTAATTTCAGTTCCACATGTAAAAGAAAGTCAAATGAAGCTGTTAATTCCCATGACCGTTGTATAATTGATGATACTGATATAGAAATCAAGTCTGAAATTAAGTATCTTGGATTAATTCTTTCTTCTGACCAATCCTGATCTTCCCATATCTTAGCGATTTCTAAAAGGACATTTCGTCTGACTGTTTTTTTATAATATATTTGTCAGCCAAATCTCATGAACTGTCAATGACCAGCTCTTACTACGCTGGACCTCACACTGTCCCTCGAAGACTTTCAGAAACACTTTGTATTAAACAACGCGAAAACCAGAACACAGATTGGCGACTCGAGAATCCTTTATTCTTACGCCAATATGTAACCAACAACAAGGTTATTACACACAAGATCTAAGAATAAATGTTATAACAATAAATCACGATAATACTTCTGACAGTTTTCTATCTTCCACTGAACAGCGAACGATGAGACGATGACTCCCGCGAAAAATATGGAGGAGTGGGGATTGAGCAAACAACCATGAATTGATCGTTCAATCTTCAACTACATTGACACTCCCCGGCATAAAAAAGATCCATCCCCTCTTTCCATCACGACCAATACACGTTGACTTGGATGTCAGTGCGAGAACCTGGGCCAGACGGACAAAGCTGAAATGGAAAACAAACAGAAAAGCCAACACACCACAGGCATACCAACAGCACAATCACACTCGTCGGCGACGACCTACGCCTTCCAGTCAAAGGCATCCTCTTGACATCTTGCAACACAATCGCCACTTGCTAGAATGACTCTTGAAGAACGCGACGTGACCATAGCACCACCTCATGATACTCTTCTCACATCCTCTTATCTATTCACTATCAATTACCATTGCGATCGCTTGTCACTCATTCTGCCTCAGTTCTAGTAACGGTGACGTATGCAAGCCTCAGTCGTCTACACTCTCGCTTCCCGGCGTGTGGGACCACAGCTAATCGTCATCTCCGTGCGCATATCATTCTCATCACTAGCCTCCCCGGCGTATACGACCCATTTGCTGTCTTTAACATCAATCAATTCATTCACAGATGTAGAAGACTCGAAACAACCTTCAAGAGTAGGCACGACGAAACTTTTAACAAAATTATGCAATAGCAACAAGATACGAAAACAACAAATAAACACAGTGAATCCCAAAACACCAATTGATATGAATCACCACACGTATATACAACAATACACATAACCTCGCCGATCATGTCTTGACGGAATTCCTTTGCAGGACTTACACCAGTACCCCTCCAACCCTTCTCAGGTTAACGATTGTGAGTTGAAGAATGTCCGGACACAAACAAGATGAACCAACAATTACATTAATTGGAACCCACTCAATTACTTAACACAACGTATGTACAATCAATACATCAAATGTTGTGGATTCTGCCTTGACGAGCTACTCTCGAAGAACTGTAGGACTTACAGCAGTACGCCTACATTCCTTATCAGGTTGACGCCCTAGGTTGGAAAATCGTCGCAGACTTCATTTTCTGACCTCCTTCTAACATCTATATCCTCAACTCTGAACGGTAACACGCCCATGACATTGTATCGTGGAATATAGATGACTAACAAACACACGACGTATTTGACCAACCAGGCGTGGGCACAGAATAATTTACACCAAAGATAATAACATTCAAATAGTAACTTGAAATTTGACAGGCCTTTATTCGTGCAAGTCAGTTTAACAATTACACTCTCATACACAGTTGGCTTATCCTCCCTAAACTGACCATTGACTTTCGTCCTTTCAAACAGACCGATACTAGCATAGTCACAGCACAAGACACTTGAGTTCATGGACGTCACCTTCATTGTGGATGACAACACCAATGACGACTGAGTGACACAAGTTGATGAACTTAGCGGTGCATCAGAAGATGTTGTCGTTCGACCTTTAGAAAGTTGTCTAACCGTAGGATTACCAAGACTGCTATCTTTTATGACTAGCTCGAGTTTAGCACTAACATCTGTCGATAGGTGGACTACACGCGGATCATAAACACTGACGGTGTCACGAGTATCCATACCTTCTACCACCGCATCTGCCTTTAAGTCTGCTTCACGTTCAAGTTGTACAGAACCTTTGTTCAACTCAGTAGTACTAGGCATTCCTCTCATCTCATCATGATTAACCGAAGACAAAAGCGCACTATCATGATCATTATCACAAATATTCACTTTACCGTTGTCTATCTGGTCAACTTCATCATTTTCAAACTCTTTAATAACAACAGTAGACAATTTGGGTTCTTCCTCATAAATCCTTAAAGGTTTTATACCTTTACTCTAACTAGTAATACCTTGTAAAGTTGTGGAGTCAGAACTGGACTCTGAAACTGTAAGTCTCTTCTCCTGCACAAACTGCGGTGTCTTCTGTGACACTATTCAACAATAGCTTACCAGTTGCAACTACAGGCTTCTTCACCACACCATTATCGTCACACGGTTCGGAGTCAGACCTTGATTTCACATTTAGCTTACCACTAAACTTGGTCACTTCTTCACAGTTCGCCCTTGTATGCACTTCTTGAAAACGTGTAAAACACAACCGTGTTTGTCTCGCGACTTGTAACTTATCTGTTGCGGATGTCCCACGAAGGCTGTTACACTCACTAAGTTTATATGGATTACTCAGCAGTGGTTAAATGGCCTTTTGATGAACATCGAATCCATACTGAAAGCGTCGAAGATTTATTACAACATGCACACTCCTGATTTCACTATGAAGCATGCATGCCAAATGCATTACTTTAGGGGCCTACACAATTCACAAATTAACTCACAACACTGAAGTGGAAAAATTTATATTTGTCCTAACTGAGCATAATATAACAAATCTTGTGAAGTAATTTTCTTATGCAGAAGAGAGGGGCAAGGTATTCATAATCTTATGGATAACGTCTCCTTGTTGCTCAAACGGGCCATGGAGTCAATTTTAATGAAATGCCAATCTATGCAAAATAGGCCAGAAAACCTACTCTTCGAAATTCGATTATTTCTATACGGAATAACTGTACACTGCTAGTCATGACAATAGTATTACAATCTTAGCGTAAACTAATTATGCACAGAATAACCTATCTTACATTTAACAGCACGTCAGCTCTATAAGGCATCAAAATAAAACATTTGTAAGACACAACATTAATACATTCAAAATAAAACAATCATGTAACGAATATATATACATATATATTTTCTCTGAAAAAATACAACAAATGAAAGGGCTTCGTACAAAAGAATTCATACAAAGATCAACTAGTGAAGTACAGAGAGTTACCACCACCACTGACTGTTTTAGGTAGGTTTGAAAATACACAAACTTCGCCAGCATTATTTTTATTGGTAGTGTCGTTTTCCGGATTGAAACGATCAGTCGCTTGACTCTCAATAGAATTTTGTTGCACACTATCTTCGTCGTCGGACAATACAATAACTATGGGCTCATCGGACAGAGATGTGCTTTGAAGTTTATCAGCTTCACAACTATGGTGGAATGTTTCCGACAGAAGTTTTGGACAATCAACAACACCTCTTTCATTACAAGAACGAGTTAGTTCGCCTGAAATTAATTCATTGTCACTAGTCACACTATGGTCACCATTATTATAGGCATCCGTTTGTATATTGTTTGATAAATGCGATGAGGTGTCAGCAATCATACCATTCCTATTTTCATTCGATAGATTTGGCGCGTTTTTCGCTTTGGAATCGCTGTTACATCCATCTATGATTATTAATGAGGCTGGCATACCAGGAAGATCTGCATACATATCTTCAAGTAGATCCTGAAGATTACGAACCGCTGAAAATGAAGAGAAACAAATTGAGTGATCCAGTTCTCTTCAATACATTAATCTCAGAAAAACGTGTTCGAGATATAACTATAACAATACTAAATAAAAAGGGAATACTTTCACAAAAAAAGTGGGTTTCACTATGTTTGTCATCATACAAATGCAATATTATGTCAGAAGAAAGCAGTGTCGTTACAAACACACTAGACCAGAGACATTAACATCAACGTAGAAACAAAAATTACACTGGAAATACTTGTGTAACGTCAGAAGACAAGGGCCAGACAACAGATCGTTTATTGAGATAATCAAGAGATATGTATAGAATTTTATGTGCATTATTGTCAATGGTGAGGCATTGTCTTCTGACTGGTTGTTTTCTTGCTGAGAGTTATTATGTACTACTTGTGGCCATTTCTCAGAAAGTTAAGCTATACATCTGCGAATCGCATTTGCACACACTAAGTCTGCTGTGCAAATACCAGAGATATGGAAGATATTATTACCACCAGTCAAATCAGAGGAGGATAATAAAGAATTTTAAAATTCTATTTCAATTCAAGCACATCACAACATTCCAACAAGTGACTTATTATGACTATAAAAACACTCGTCTTATTCCCCATCTGATTGTATTTGATATCTGGATGTACATTATGATATAATAATTTTTATTCAAATGTCTGATCAATTTCACTCATGTATATAAATGAAGTAAAAAGTTGTCTGAGTGACATGATATGATTATGAGTAGCAATAGTTTGTGCTCGAAACGTGGCCATCAGTAAATATTACTGTATAACAGTCTGTCTGTTTTCGACATAGAACTTTGCACAAATGTGCGGAAGTTCAAGTCGCCACATTTCGTGTAGCACGCGAAGCAAGAGAAGAAAGTACAAGAAAAGCATAATAGAAACAGTGAGCAGAGGTGTGAGACAAAGGAGTAATAAAGAAATACAAAACAATTTCATTGAAGATCATAAGTCACAGGGAGTGGATGAATCTGCGCCACTGAGAACGATCACTTTGAGCCATGTCACCAATTGTTTCCAACCATAGAATTTTACCGTCCCGAGGACCCCAGCCTGGAAGTCTACACCTTTCTACGTGGCTAAGACCAACTGTTGTGGATTTCATTGACTGATGCCAAGTTTTTGTTTGACCGCCGCTAGCTTTTTTCCAGCCTGACCCTATATCCGCTAACATAGCTCGTCGAGGGAGGCGATGACTTGGCATACGTATCACATGTCCTAACCATCTCAGTCGATGTAGCTTTACGACTTCGTCGATTGATTTCTCCTGTTTACCTAGAACTCTACGCCTAACCTCCATGTTGCTCACCTTATTATGCCACTTTACACGGGAAATAGAACGCAGGCACCTATGATCAAAGGCAGCTAGTCTTTTCATGTCTTCCACTCTCAGTGGCCAGGTCTCACAACCATTAAGGAGGACGGAGCGGACTGATGAGCAGTACACCCGCCCTTTGGTCGATAGTCGAACACCTCGTCTACGCCAGAGTCGGCGCAAACTAACAAATGCGAAACGAGCCCCTTGTATTCGTGCTGAGATTTCGTCAGAGATCAGCCCGTTGGGGCTGATGGTACTTCCCAAATAAGTGAAGCGGTCAACGTGCTCTACCACTTCACTTCCTATTTTTAAACTAGGCGTCGATGTAGTCCAGTCCTGTAACATCATCTTGCATTTGGCGGTGTGTGTGCTTACGACTGAACGGACGTAGGAAACAGCTGGCGGTAAAACCATCACGTCCCCAGCTCGATCAGGAAACTAAATCCCTATTTGAGGAAGAACTAGCTAAACACCTATCAGAATTCGACAGCTGTGCTCACCCTGGAGAAGCCTGGAAGAATATTCAGTCAGCTATAGATACAGCTGTAAAAGCTGTGAATAAGGCAAATCCAAAGGTGAGTAAAAACCACTGGATCTCCACCGCCTCATCCGAACTGATAGATGCTAGAAGACTTATTCCGGCGAGCTCCGAATTCAATGAGGAGCGAAAGCTGCACAAAAGGAAACTTACGAAAAGTCTCCGCAAGGACCGTGAACAGTGGTGGGTGACAAAGGCAAAAGAGATGGAAAAAGCATCGGCGATAGGCAACACTAGGCAACTCTTTAGACTCATCACAGAATCGGGTGGGAGAAGGCAATTCATAAGTGAGACTATTTCTGAGAAAAATGGCTCCTTAATTAGCTCTCAGGATAGACGCCTTGAACGCTGGAAAGAACACTTTGAGGAACAATTTAACTTGCCTACAGCCACACTGAACCTCCCCGCCATCCACCACGTACCCGAATGGGATATAGACACTGGTCCGCCGTCTGTAGGTGAGGTTACAAAAGCTATCAGTAATTTGAAACGAGGCAAAGCGGCAGGACCCGACGGAATTATTCCGGAGGTGTTTAAATATGGGGGTGACATACTAGTTTGTAGATTAAGTGAGGTACTAGGCAAAGTCTGGGAATCAGAGACAGTACCATCAGACTGGGGTAAGTCACTTATTATACCGATATTCAAGAAGGGAAACAAGTCCTCGTGTGATAATCATAGGGGGATCAGCCTAACGAACATAGTCTCTAAAATCCTAGGCTCAGTAATCATGCATAGACTAAGCAGAACTCGGGAGGAACAGACAAGGGAAAATCAAGCAGGCTTTAGACCAGGTAGAGGGTGCATAGATCATATCTTCACTCTTCGACAGATTCTAGAACATAGACACACTTTTCGGCGTCCAACAATTGCCATATTTCTTGACTTGAAGGCGGCCTTCGACTCCGTGGATGGGAAGGTACTATGGCAATGTCTGACTGTGAAGAGAGTGCCAAGAAAGTACATTGCACTAATCAAGGCACTCTATTCAAACTCACGTAGTCGTGTAAGGGCTTATGGGGAATTGTCATCTGAATTGGTAACAACCAGTGGTGTCCGACAGGGATGTCCACTTTCCCCATTTCTGTTTAACTTCATCATAGAAATGCTAATGGAAGTATCCTTAACTGAACGTAGTGACTTAGGAATCGACTTGTTACCAGGGAATAATCTAATGGACTTAGAATATGCAGATGACATAGTCCTGTTAGGGGAGGATGGTGACAAAATGCAGAGTCTTCTGAACACCTTGAGCAGCAATCTTCATATGTTTGGCATGCGATTCGCCCCTACAAAATGTAAGATGCTGCTACAGGACTGGACCCCGTCAATCCCTAACTTAGTGATAGGGAGTGAAGTGATAGAACATGTTGACCACTTCACCTACTTGGGAAGTTGTATTAGCACCAACGGACTGATTGGCGATGAAATCTCAGCACGGATCCGAAAAGCTCGAGCTGCTTTCGCTGACTTACACCATCACTGGCGTAGGCGTGACATCCGGTTATCAACCAAGGGACGTGTGTACTGCTCATCAGTTCGCTCCGTCCTTCTCTATGGCGCTGAAACATGGCCAATACGCGTTGAAGACATGAAAAGGTTGACTGCTTTCGATCATAGATGTCTGCGATCTCTGTCTCACGTTAGGTGGTTTCACAAGATAAGTAATGTTGACGTTAGGCGTAGAGTGTTGGGCAAAGAGGGAAAATCAATCGACGAGGCTATAAAGTTACATAGACTAAGATGGCTAGATCACGTGCTGCGCATGCCTAACCATCGCCTCCCCCGACGGGCTTTGCTAGCTGATATAGGTTCAGGTTGGAAAAGAGCCAGTGGTGGCCAAACAAAAACATGGCATCAATCCATGAAATCCTTGACAGTTAAACTGAGTCAGGTAGGGAGATGCAGACTCCCGGGTTGGGGCCCTCGGGACTCTAGGAATCAATGGCTGGAGACAATAGGTGACATGGCTCAAAATCGTTGTCAATGGCCAGCGCAGATGTATTCAGTCTCTGTAATCTTTCATATTCCTTTCTACAATTACCCATTCTGTTCCACTCTTATATTTGTCAAACTCTATTGATTCTCTTCACTCATCTTCTTGTCTACCTTGTGTGCCAATTGGAACGTGGCAACTCGAACTGCTGCACTTCGGTGCCAAGTTCTATGTTGAATCCAGACAGACAGTATAACAGTGTGTGATTTATCAAAATTTATCTATAATGGAGGTATACTCCACCACAGTGACGAAGTTTTATACTTATATCAATAAGTCTGCTGTGACTGGTTGATGAGCCAGTTTTGTTCTCTGTACGCCTAGGTTTTTTTCTTTTTCTCTCTCTCAGGCGTCAGGGTATGTAAGCTTCAGTCATGATGCTATAGATGACAATATTTACTCCTAGGAAAGATTGAGAAAGTAAAACTTATCATCACATACATCATTTACAAGAAGCACAATAAAATATTGTATACATTACAGAGAATCTATCTATGTTAGGCAAAATTATTGAACACTACTACTCAACAAACCTGCACGTGTTGCTTCTTTTGCTTTTGAATCCTTAGGTAAAACAATACATTTATTGGTATCCGATAGAATTAATTTGTTAGACAAATTAACAGCTGCATCTTTAACACGACCTGAATCTAATGATGTCTGGTCTGTGCTTCTGGTAACAGCAACTTCAGCAACTTCATATAAAGATTGTTCGATAACTAAAGCTTGCTCAATCAATTTTAAACGATCCGTTAAAAAGGCATGAAATTCGGTATAGTCTGAGGGAATACGTACAGGCACAGTTGCTAAACGTGAATAAAAAAAGTGGAATTTGAATTCATCCAAAAAGGTTAAGGGATGAATTCAAAGTCTGTATTAATGTTATGATAACAGCATTCAATAAACGATTGAGATTCGAGAATTATTGATAAAAAGTCACTGACAAAAGTTTTTTATGCAGCTCAGATGTACAAAACATAAATGAATTTATGCATTGACACTGTGTTATAATTTGAATACCTTAAAATCTTTTCCAACCATCTTCAATTAACACTGATATATGAGTTGTACTGTAGGTGGTAGGGTTTTCTCATTGCTCCTTCTTTAAAATAAGACAGCCAGAGACAATGAACTGCTAAATCTTAGTTAGGCCTTAAAGCCGAAAATGAGAGAAAAGTTACTGCAAGATTTAACGTTTGATCGTAGAGGCGTGATAACTAAGCTTTGTAACACCATCTTTAGCAATAACTTATTGCCATCTCATCTTCTCTAACTTTAGTCCAACCGCAATCGAAGAGTTTTCGGTTATATAACAACTTTGGCCGTGAAATTCCACTGGTTCACACAAAGTCCAACACTCTTTGTTTTCGTGTAGTGGTGAAACTCCCTGCAGTCAATTAGTCATTATTATTCTTCCACCTTGCACAATAGGCTTTGTTGGTCTACACTCCATTTCAATCGTAAATTAGCGAAGTACTCTTTTTGTTGGTTGCCTCTGAGGTATACTTGACCTAGAATATTCTAAATGTTCATTTGAGATGCTAGTAGATTTTTTTTTCTGTCGATAAACACATATATGGAGACAACAATTCACTCTAAACATCTTAAGAATTTACTGTCCTTCAGATTTTCGTTGTGCTGAATGTGCTAAAGAGTATTTTAAACATAACGATTGCAAGCGACATTGCTGCTGATGCTTAAAATTTGTTCTATGTAAGTAGATTTACTGCATACTGCAATGATGAAGAATAGTCAGTTATCATTTCTCCTTTTTACAATGTTTTCCACTTAATTGCCTTTGAAAATCATAAAAGTATCGTCAGGTTATCTTATCCAAACATACTGTTTGATTAGCACAATGAAAATTGATACCAACCCGTGCATTATAGATTTACCAACCAATCTTGATATTGACGATAGCACGGATGTTTATTGATTGATTGTACCGTGGTAATTTACTTCTTCTCCGCAAATATTTTCTATGGTCACCTTTTAAAGGCGGGAAGACAGAATAAATGCCTCTTCTGTGGTCTTCCGCAGAAAACTCACTGCTAATAGTACATACTTATAAGCCGGTTGTCACTAGAAACCTTTCGCATTGCAAATAACTTATTTTCAATGGTAGCTGACTTTAATCTAACTGCTTTCAACTAGATATTTTTTGGCGTAAGAATTTTTTCCATTACAGCTTGATTCCACATCGTATTTTCGGTAGAAGTATGGAATTCTCAGCATGCAATAACGGTAGCCCAAACTTTGTAGACCGACAACTAATATCAGGTATGCGTCGGCAGGGCATCAAACCCCTGGTCGGTGAGAGTCCTAACCACTGTGCCACCGACGCATGCTTGCAAGATGATCTGTTTCAGTCAGGCAGCATACATCCTCGATTCATCACAGTATTGCAATTCATGGTTATAAGCAACAAAGTATGTTGGAAAAGTTATCTAACAAACACTTTTAACAACTAAATGCCAGAGTATACAAATAATGTATCACGAAACTACATTATCATAGTAGTATTTGAATTATTTCTTGTTCTGTAACGGTTGAAAACGTGCTTTTTTCACAAAAACGTCCTCAGTGTTAGTCAAATTAATATTCAACTGGCATATACAATCAGGAACGGAATGGAAACGAGTTAGAGAAACAACATTGTCAATTTTTAAAACAAAACAAAAAAACAACAACATCTAATTAGTTACTGAAAAACTGCTTATTCCGCGCCTTAGTAGCTTAAAATTAATATATCTGTTGGTTAAAGTGACAGTATACGTCGCTATAACGGCTTGCATAACAAACAAATGACTTCAGATAGGATTAAATATACACTTCATCTTACATAGAAATTATTCATGAGATACATTTCATTCCCAAAATAAAACTTATATCCGCAACATTATCATCCCAGAGAATGGCATTCAGGTTGTCCACATAAAAAACGCAACACACATGACCCTCCTGGCGGTAAGGAAATTTATCGATCTAATTACAACAACCTTCCAGAGTTCAAAAAACCAGAACTTTGTTCAGGTACTAGACAAAATCAAAAAATTTACTAAGTGGTAAATTCTGACAGAAAATATCACTCATCTGGTTTATATGGCGGCTATCCAACGCATCATATCATGCTACATTACCGGAACAAGGGAATAAAAAGAAGTACACATTAAACTATTACTTACTTAATTCAGAATTCATAAGTCTATTCATAGCGTCTAGTACACCAGACACTCCAAATTTTACTATAACGAAACGTGGATCGGCCAGTATATCATCCCAATTGGCATATCCATGAACAAGTATACCAGCAAGCAACCAATAATCATGACGTGAATGCCAAATTCTTTGACTCTTTAGTATCATTTCAGAGTCTCCAGCCATCTGTGATTGGGAGCAAATTGTTTCACGGATATTGTTGATTTGTGCACATTCATCATTCCACATAGAACGCAATAATGATAAGCCACCTTCATTTATGTTAAATTTAAATTCAGAATATTCATCCTATCAATAGACAAAAAGCAAAGGCGTTTATGTAAATATATATATATATATATATATATATTTGTTGATAGGAGAAAACAACAGAGGTGTTTATCATTTCATATAAGTTTTATCAGACATTTTCCCCAATGCGATCACAACTTTTTGTTTTCAACCGGTTACACACTCGCAAGCCTAAACCATATTTCACTACCGGATAGCTGACACGCAGCTAAGATATACCACAGGACAATATGTAAACAGATTATAATTCCGGCTGGAATAATAATAATAATAAAATAAGCATGAGTATTTTTATTATTATTACTATAAAATAAAAAGAAACCATAGTCCACATTGTAGAGAGCCAATTTTAATCAGTGGTAATGAGAGAAACAGGACTTACATCAGTAGCAATACTTCTTGCACCGTTAATATCTTCATATTCTAATACTTTATTTCTAATAAGAACCAGCATTGCAACACGTGATAGTACAGCAGGGACGCACAGGTGTTCCTTAGGTAAACCATCGGACCATCTAAACAAAAATTATTTTAAATTAATATATAAAAATGAAATTAAAAATAATTTTCTTCTACAAATCAAAGTTAATATTATGAGAATACCTGACCAATTTGAAAGTTTATAGGACGGTGATAGTGAAAACTGACAAGCGACGAGACAATCCTTTTAAATATCAACTATCCAAAATGTCAAATGTATCATTATCATCCTCGTCCTCAATCATTTTCCAGGAGTGTTCCGACACGTGATGACCTCTTTTCCTGTGTTGGCCGCTCTTAGTTTAGCATTCATATCATCCATTAGAAGTCTGATGTCGCTATTTGGGGACTGGTGCATTACTGTTTACGGTTATCTGTAGAAATCTTCCTTCTCTACTTATGCCAATCACCTAATCATTGAAGGCGAAGAAGTCTGAGAAGGGTTCTCCGTTATCATGCATCTCGCCTCTAGCTCGATGATGAGTTATCTTCCTGAATTATCTGCTCCCAGTTTATCATTCTGAGAAGCCTGTTTAAAGCCTCAACAAGACCAGACAACTGAATATGTTTCGGAAATCACTTTGAAGTTTCTCGTAGACCTTGCTTTAAAAGAATATTATTAAGTCCACCCTATTTATATATATCTTGCCACACAGAAATTTAAGCGGCTAAATACATTAGGACACGTTTTAATCTTACGCCTGTTGCAAGTGATTAGGTGGTTAGTGTATCCACCACGCGTACAGCCAGTAATGCGGAAGCTAGAAGCAGAATTCATCGTATCCCTGATTATCAATGCGTTTCCATGATAAATTTACAGAAGTCTGAAGAATACATCTTTTTCTAGAAGAAAGGGATAGCAGATATCAATGCTATGTTTACTACTCTATGGTACATAACAATTTCAATGGTTGAGTATTTTCAATTAAAATACGTTAGTCAAAAAGTAAGTGAAAGAAGTCTTACAACTCAGACTTGTATAATAGGTTAAGACTTGCATCTGTTTTGCTGTGCTTTCAAATGATGACAGGTTATGTGAGTAATTCATGAAAAAGCTTCTTTTAGTCAATATACCAGGACTTAGGAAGTGTAGTAGACATATCTGATCATTTCACATACTAAAGTAGGTTTCTACAGAATGACCGTACATACATACTTTACCACCCAGTAAATAACCCGACCGAAAGCTGCTACCTTGACGTGGTGGTCGGGCTTGAATACCGCAATGACCTAATCAAGCTATACTGGCTGAGACTTATGTCTCTTGATGTCCTACCATGCCAGAAAGGTTGTTTGGATAGCGGTTAAAACAAAAAGCAGCTACCCAATCCACCATTATGATACAAACAAAATTACAAAATTTCATGCCGGATCGGCCGTGGCCCGGATTAACAACGACCGCGCTTCCTGCTGCCGTGTCACAGGGCAGGAGTGATAAATATGCTACTGAGACACACCAAACAATAAAGAGGAAACAAAAACAGGCCGCGTGTGACCGGCCTCAAGCAGTTGTCCCCTGGGCTCTGCGGTCACGCAACCAACTTCCACGGTGTGGGTAGCCGGGAAGTAACAATCGCCCTCACAATCTGAAATGCACACGAAACCTCTCTAATACTCACTCATCTTTGTCTTCATCTTCATCTCTATCATCTTGCTTCCTTCCACTGATGCAACTCCTTGGCTCGATAGCTCTCCACTTCCTCTCCACTCTGCGTCCACTAAAAACGATGGAAGCCAAAAAACCACCACCAACAGCCTCCTAAAGCCACGCCACCAATTTCATATAGGAGCATTTAATGTTAGGACACTTTGCCAAATAGGACAACAAGCATCACTAGCCAAAACCCTGGCATCCCGAGCCATTGATGTATGCTGTGTTTCAGAAACACGCATACAAGACCCAAGTGTGGTTATTCACCTAACCCCACCTGGCCAACAGGTTGAATCTGCAAAATTCACCTTGAGGGTGTCAGGAGATGCCACAGCTAGTTCACGTGGATTAGCTGGTGTAGGGATAGCTTTGAGTACTAGGGCAGAAAAGACATTGCTTGACTGGATCCCGGTAGATAGCCGAATGTGTGCTGTCCGTCTGAACGGGTCAGTAAAAAGGAGGAAGGACTGCACTACTCGCCGATGCCTTTTCGTAATCTCCTCTTACGCCCCCACTGACTGCAGTTCAGATGAAACGAAGGATGAGTTCTACCAAAAGCTGTCTAGTTTGGTGCGAAAGGCTAAACGCTCAGACATAGTCGTTCTAGCCCGTGACTTTAACGCTCAAGTAGGGGGAAATTGTGTCAATCTGAGAAGGATGTCGGTGGCACCTATGGAGTTCCGTGCCAGCGAACCGACAACGGTGACCGTCTCCTACAGTTCTGTTCTGATAATCATTTGTTTCTTGTAAGCACTAACTTCAAACACAAGAAGAGACACTGTTTGACTTGGAGACCCCCTTCATCTAACCAACGCTGGACACAAATAGACCACATAGCAATAAGCTATCGTTGGCGTGGGTCGGTAGGAGATTGTCGCTCCTTCTGGAACACGTGTGTAGATACCGATCACGCACTGGTCCGCGCTCGGGTGTGCTTACGACTGAACGGACGTAGGAAACAGCTGGCGGTAAAACCATCACGTCTCCAGCTCGATCAGGAAACTAAATCCGTATTTGAGGAATAACTAGCTAAACACATATCTGTGTTCGACAGCTGTGCTCACCCTGAAGAAGCTTGGAAGAATATCCAGGCAGCCATAGATACAGCTGTAAAAGCTGTGAATAAGTTAAACCCAAAGGTGAGCAAAAACCACTGGATCTCCACCGCCTCATCCGAACTGATAGATGCTAGAAGGCTTATACCGGCGAGCTCCGAATTCAATGAGGAGCGAAAGCTGCACAAAAGGAAACTTACGAAAAGTCTCCTCAAGGACCGTGAACAGTGAAGGGTGACAAAAGCGAAAGAGATGGAGAAAGCTTCGAGGATAGGCAACACCAGTCAACTATTTAGACTCATCAGGGAAACGGGTAGGAGAAGACAAATCATTAGTGAAACAATCTCGGAGAAAAATGGCACTATAATTAGCTCCCAGGATAGACGACTGGATCGCTGGAAAGAGCATTATGAGGAGCAGTTTAATTGGCCCACAGCCACGCTCATCCTTCCGAACATCCAACACCTCCCTGAATGGGATATAGACACAGGTCCTCCATCCCTAACTGAGGTTACTAAAGCTGTCACCAATCTGAAACTGGGCAAAGCAGCGGGACCTGATGGAATCACTCCAGAGGTATTTAAGTACGGTGGAGACAGTTTACTGTCTGCATTAACTGAGGTACTAGGCAGCGTCTGGGAATCAGAAGAAGTCCCATCGGGTTGGTGTAAGTCACTGATTATCCCCATATACAAGAAGGGAGACAAGTCTTCCTGTGATAATCACAGAGGGATTAGCTTGACTAATATAGTATCTAAAGTCTTAGGCTCAATAATCATGCGTAGACTGAGTGGTGCTTGGGAGGCACAAACACGAGAGAGCCAGGCAGGCTTTAGACCAGGAAGAGGGTGTATTGATCATATCTTCACCCTCCGACAGATTCTAGAGCATAGGCATTCCTACCGGCGTCCAACAGTCATCATATTTCTTGACCTAAAGCCAGCATTCGACTCTGTCGACCCAGAAGTTCTCTGGAGATGCTTGGCTGTAAAGGGAATTCCGAGAAAATATATTGCACTGATTAAGGCACTCTACTCGTACTCACACAGCCAGGTGAGGGCTTACGGCGAGCTGTCATCTGAACTGATGACGACTAGTGGTGTCCGTCAAGGATACCCATTATCCCCTTTTCTATTCAACTTCATCATAGATGTACTAATGGACTTAACCCTAAGTGACTTCAGTGACTCAGGGATTGACTTGCTACCAGGGAATAATCTCGTTGACTTAGAATATGCAGACGATATAGTCCTCCTAGGCGAAGACGCTGACAAAATGCAGAGTCTTCTAAACACCTTGAGTCGCAATCTACGAATGTTTGGCATGCGATTCACTCCCGCCAAATGCAAGATGATGTTACAGGACTGGACTACATCGACGCCTAGTTTAAAAATAGGAAGTGAAGTGGTAGAGCACATTAACCGCTTCACTTACTTGGAAAGTACCATCAGCCAGTGACAACGGGTTGATTTCTGACGAAATCTCAGCACGGATACAGACGGCTAGTTTCGCATTTGCCAGTTTACGCCGACTCTGGCGTAGACGAGATGTTCGACTATCGACCAAAGGGCGGGTGTACTGCTCATCAGTCCTCTCCGTCCTCCTTAATGGTTGTGAGACCTGGCCACTGAGAGTGGAAGACATGAAAAGACTAGCTGTCTTTGATCATAGGTGCCTGCGCTCTATTTCCTGTGTATTATTATTATGTTATTATTATTGTATCCTTTAGTTCCTAGAGGAACATAGGGCTTCAGCTGCGCACCTCCATTGACTTCGGTTTTCTGACAACTTTTTCACCCTGCTCCAGGTCTGCCCACATGCTTTCATCTCCTCTTCACATGACCTCCTCCAAGTCACCCTTGGACGACCAACTCGCCGCCTCCCTTTCGGGTTCCACTCGAGGGCTTGTCTAGTGATGTCACTTGATGGTTTCCTCAGCGTATGGCCAATCCATCTCCATTTCTTTCTGCCTATTTGTTTCACAATCGGTTCCTGATTGGTTCGCTCCCAGAGATCCCTGTTGCTGATCTTTTCTGGCCATCTGATCTTGAGTATTGAGCGGAGACAGTTGTTAATGAAGGTTTGAAGTTTGTTTGAGATGCTCTTTATGACTCGCCAAGTCTCTGATCCGTATAGTAGCACTGACTTCACATTGGAGTTGAAAATCCGGATCTTATTTTTGATGCTGATTGCTGTTGACCTCCACACAGATTTGAGAGTAATGAAAGCTTGTCTTGCTTTTCCGATTCTGGCTTTGATGTCCTCGTCAGTTCCGCCTGTAGTTGAGACGATGCTTCCCAGGTAGGTGAAGGAGGTTGTTTCTTTCAGGTTCTTCCCATTTATGCTTATTGTGGTCTGTTGTTGCTGTTGATGTTGGCAAGGAATCTTCATCATCTCTGTTTTATCTATGTTCACGTGAAGTCCTATCTTTGATGCTTCTTCTGCCAACTTGTTACTTTTCATTTCCTGTGTAAAGTGGCATAATAAGGTGAGCAAAACTGAAGTTAGGCGTCGAGTTCTAGGGAAACTGGGGAAATCAATCGACGAAGTAGTGAAGTTACAAAGACTGAGATGGTTAGGACATGTGGTGCGTATGCCAAGTCACCGCCTTCCTCGATGAGCAATTTTGGCTGATATAGGGTCAAGCTGAAAAAGAGCTAGCGGAGGTCAAACAAAAACATGGCACCAGTCAATGAAATCCACAACAGTTGGTCTAAGTCACGTAGGAAGGTGTAGACTTCCAGGCTGGGGTCCTCGAGACGGTAAAAATCTATGGTTGGAAACAATTGGTGACATGGCTCAAAGTGATCGTTCTCAGTGGCGCAGATGCATCCACTCCTTGTGACTTATGATCTCCAATGAAACTGTTTTGTTCTTCGTTATTACTCCTCCTTTGTCTCACACCTCTGCTCACTGTCTCTATTATGCCTTTCTTGCACTTTCTTCTCTTGCTTCGCGTGCTACACGGAGTGTGGCGACTTGAACTTCCGCATATTTGTGCAAAGTTCTATATCGAAAACAGACAGACAGACCCAGTAAATAAACTTACACAACACTCCTACTGTTCTGTGCAATATAATTCATATATGATTAACAAATGGAATGACAGATTTTGATTCAGTAAAACAAAGATTCACACTACAGGAAGACACATAATATTTCCGATGCTCGGTAAAGTCGAGTAACTAGTTTCACTGCACTATATTAGTCTGAGGTACAAGAAAACAGTAGTTATCTGTGTGTAATTGGTAACCAGAGATAGAAAAAGTCATCCAACAATCAATAAAAATCTCAATGTTTACGTGTCTTTCGAATCATCTAAAGCATATCGGTCATCACATAGATGCTTCATGTATAAGTCCACATAACCAAAGAGATGAAGGTGAGATTTATGATGTAAAGCTGATGGAAGCCAATTTCGGGGCGGAATAATACCAGGTGGTGGAAGACCAAATCTATCGTTTTCAAAAAAAAAAAAACAACAAAAACAATCGGTAATTTGTTGGTGATGAAACTAAGCAACGCATAAACTGAAAAGTGAAGTGATAAGTTTAAAAAATGTATTGAAGAAAGGTTGTTGGGAATTATAGCCGGATCAAACGTCGCAGCCATATTAATAATCAAAATCTATTCTTTTTATGTTATGCAATTAGGAAGTTGTCGAATAAAACAAAAGTTGCCAAAGCTTTTTAACGTCCACAAATGACAAATGACATTTCAGTATATTGTGACTTCCATGACGAACGGAACAGATAATTGTATTTGGTGAAGTGCTAACTAAAAGTGAGAGCACAAAACCATAACGTCATTTCATGAAAGTGTTTATTAATGAACCACTCTAGACTCGAACTAATGGGTACACCATTTTCAACCAACACTAATAAAGGATATCAAATACCATCAATGATTGATCCCCTTAACACCAAGCAAAGACAATCAGACAACTTGAAGAATCTTATCACTCGAAGCTAGCTGTTCGTCAAAGAATGGAAAGTGCCAACTAAGGAGGACAATTTCGGAGGCATGAATATGTGCTCATCTCGGGAACTTGACCCATACATACATTCTGTTACGGTCTTTTAACCATTAGATTATTGTTAAGAACCATCCTGAATTGTTGCATAAACTCCTACACCCTTTTAAGTAAGCTTTCAACTTAATGCTGAGCACTTCTGGAAGGAAATGAAAAAATGTCGTAAAGGACTGGGACTCGCATTAACTGGAACAACAGTGTCACATGATATTCCGTCAAGTAATAGTTTACTTGAGGACTCTATACCAAGAGTAGAGATGTTGCCATTTCATCCGTTGAGAATGCTGCAGTGTGTTAGCGTATGTTTTAGAATACGGCTATTCTTACTGTTAAGTTTACCATTTATAGTGGTAGTGTTAGTATTTTTTTAATTATTACATTGCTTTACATAGGGCTTCAAGTCAGAGCTTTGAAGTTTCGGTAGCAGTGGTGTTTACTTTAACGGGATGGGGTTGCTAGCCACATGTCCAGCCTTCCCTCTATACCAGTCTTATAACCAACTCAGTGAGGTAAAGTAGTGCATTCTCCGGGGATAGGACCCCAAACCTCAAATGTGGTTGGCGAGCATTCTACCGCTGTACCACCGACGCACGTAGTAGTTAGTAATCATTGTTATTATTACCATTACTATTTATCACTACAATACTGTGTTTAACCTAAAAATTCCAATTTTAATAATGTACTTATCAGATGAGGAAATTCAACTTCATCACATAATAGAAAGCAACTGAAAGAATTGTTTCTTAGACTAATCATCATTAGTCTTTATCACGACTTTAAACACATTGTTATCCACA